AACCGAAAATCGCTCACAATAGCTTCAGAAGACCTGTTGCATGCGGTTGATACGTCGTAGGCATCGAAAGCTCAGAGAGAATAAGGCCGGTCCTTGTTGATCAGAAGTCTCTCCTTTCACAAGGACGGCCACGATCCAGTCGCCCACGGGCGAACCACTGACGCAGCTTCGAAACCTCAAGCCGCAGTGCCCAGAGGCTTTAAGGCTGAAGGTCATGGCGTGTAGTCAGTGTTTCTATCGATTCAGGATTTCGTCGGCATGAAGTTTGGGAATTCGGCGGCTTTGCTTGGAGATATGATGTGGCCCTTTGGGCTAGAAGTTGGGGATCAGCAGAATCACCGCCTGACGGCGACGGAAATCGCAAGTTTGATAAAGGGGACAACGCTGGCAATGACTTCTTATTGCCTCGACCATACAGTGTAAATGTCAGCTATAGCAGGTGATTGTTGGCATCCACCAACGAAAGCTAGAGTCTAGTGACGTGGAAAGAAAGTTTGCTAGTCGGCAGGGCTCGAGAAGCATGAAAGGCGTGATGGATGTTGAAAGCGCTCAAAGCAAGGGTGCTGGCCCTTTTGCAACACTGCTTGCTCTGTAAGGGTGCGCGTGCTGACTCCCGCCCAGACGCCCAGCAGTGCAGAACTCAGATTGAGTGTCGTGGTGTGGTTGACTCGGGTTTCCGGGCATGCAGGCTGCAAGAGCGGCAGGACTCCACTGTACCACATTCGGCCTTCGATTTGAAGCAAGACTGTTGGCCTTTTGAAGAGCCGGGTGGCATGAGCGCATGTATAAGCTGCAGGCATCTGTAGCATCTGCAGACTTGCTTTGTGAGCTAATTTAGTTTCAGCTCGTTGTTTGGAACTCTCCGTGCAGGCGTGACGTGGTACGTTGAAGGACGTGGTCAAGGTGCCGGAACAACTGTCGGCTGGGGCGAAGGCCTGGCGAGCAGTGTTTGCAGACGGCTGATCCAAGAAAGATGGCGCAAGTCCTGAGAGCAAGTAGCGGTTGATATGCGATCAATCTTAGCATAGCATTGGCAAGTCGTGGGAGGGGCGGGGGGTTTGGCCCATTGGCGGGGTCAATAGTATCCCAATGACAGAGATTCCGGCGCGGCAGGAAATGATCCCTGTAGACATGTAAGTAGTGGTGTTCGTTGTATAGTGAAGGAAACATCGAAAGGTAGTTGTTTTTTAGTATGTTGTTGTAGGCTCCACAATGTATGAAACGGGAAATTCGTCGGGGTCAACTCTTAGTCAGTCCTACGCCTGAGGCCGCGCAAGTTTTGTGTACAAGTCCGAACCTGGCAGCGGGAGGGTTTACAAGCGGGTCAGATAGCTACTTTACCGGCGGGGGAGGAAGGAACAATTGGAAATAGTATTTCCTTTTGCTACCTTAGTTGTATCCATAGACCCAGAACCCTGTTGCAATTAGTTCTGCTAGATTACATTCAGCAATGCATCGCGTTCTGCGCTGAATCCTGATCAACCCTAGCCACTAACCCACAAGCCTACCACCGCCCCCGGCCCACCACGACGAGAACCACTACTTTGCCTGCTACTGCTCCCACTCTTACTGTAGATGCTGTCTGTACATGGCTATCATGGCTTCCATGGAGGACCATGAGTGCCTGTTGCTCTTCAGGCCCAGGTTTCTTCGTGACGCAGATGGCCGGCACAAGTGTCATGTGACCTCAGTGGGGGCCGAGCGGTCAGGCCTTTTCTGGTTTTAAGAGCTTTCTAGGATTGGGGGTTTTCGGTTACGACTGCCTCTGGCATTCTGCATGTCTGCTAACGAATCATTGCTATCGGATGCTATCGTGTCTGTTGCAGGTTTTGCTATTCGAATGGTTCTCCCTGTTTTCATCACGTCATCATAATTGACTGAATACCCATTTCGACTGCGACGGATTTGAGGCTGATGGTGGCGGTGATGATAGCTGTGAGCATGGTCATGTTCACGCACAACATGTGTGAATGTTTGTGTTTATACAGGAAGAACGGCTCGCTTCATACTTGAAACTGAAAAGCCCACGCCACGAGGTACCCGGCCGTTGCAACCATTGCACAGGCACAGATTGTGCATGGGCCTTGGCTCATCGGCAGTTGGACTGCCGGTGCCTTGCCGGAGCTTGTCAATGTGTATCTAGAGACGACACGACGACGGACCGCCCGAACCGTGCGGTGCATAGCAAAATGTAGCAGAGCATGGCAGAGCGGCCAGCCAGGTTGCAGTGCATCAGGACCTTGTCGAACTCAGCGTTTACCTTGCTGTAGGTTCACGTTTGCTCTGAACATCAACGCCGGGAATCAGATCAACATCGAAGCTCCACCGGGCTTCATTCTGACTTGCGCAGGCCTCAGTCATAAGACCGAGGCTCGCTGTATTTTCCAATCGACTCGTTTTGCAAGCGGTGACGCGCCGGTAAGACGAAAGGAGCTACAGCACTGCTGCAACAAGAAGACTAGCCCCACTAAAGCTTTAAACCGCTGCAGCCCAGGCTCAACAGAAGGCGCACTCAAGCAGATCAGTCTCCCGGGTGGCAAGCACGGACCCCTGCAGCTTGCTGGTGCATCGCTTCTGCACATTTCTCGCCACTTACAGACTTGCTTTCCTGTCTGACCCTACTTTCAGCTGAATGCTTCAGAAGAGCAACCTTGCTTGTGGGTACCGTGCTGCACCGTGCTGATCTTCCTACAGGCATCAGGCAATCAGGTACAGGTCGGATGTGCACCGTCTTGCAGCTTGGAATTGGACGGGCATCTTAAAGCTCGCCTAATTACCTGTCGATTGTAATTAGTGTTCTCGCTTCTGAACGCTGACTGCGTGACATGAGCAGAGCAAGTCCCAACACGCTGCAGGCCCGACTGTATCGACGACCCCTTGCAGATCCGTTTGGCCGTGATCTCGGAAGCAGCCAGCGCAAGATGTACCTGACCGCGTGTGATGAGTGGGATCTGGCTGAAGGGACTGTTTCGATGTCCTTTCACCGCTCATCACGATTAAGGCTGCTGCAGGAAGCCTCCTGTTGTGTCATTGTGTTGTCCTGAACCCCAGACTTGCTTAGCTTGCCAGTGCGACTCAGGGCACGACGCTGACAGCCGACCAGTACGCCTTCGACCCAGAGCCTTCACTTGTTACGTGCAGCCGGGCCATTCTGGGATGGATACCGACAAGCTGCCAACGAAGCAGAGAGCCTCCCGAAGCAGCCTTACTATTCCTTCATGAGGTCCAGGATTTAGAGTTTTGGATTTAGGATTTGGGTTTGGGTCATCAGGTTTTGCTAGGTTGGAAACAGCTGCCCCAGACCTCAAGCCTAGAACAGGTCTAAAACGTAATCTCCAGAGATACGGAGGGATCCCAAGTCCACGGGAGACGCTGAGGCTTGTGGGGTCGCAGGTGTTTGACAGGTATAAAATGGACATACGATTAAAGAAATCTTCAAAGTTGTCCTAATAGTGCCCTAATCATACCTGAGGCCTTCTCTTTGCTCGTAGACTTGCCGCCAGACGAGCCTCGCGCCGGTGAGCTCAGATTCCACGCAAAGTACAAGCCTTAATCTGCTGATTCTTAAGCCCTGGACACATATCAATATCGAGCAATCCTGAACTCTACTGTTTGTCTGCGAATTCGGACATTCACATGCAGCAAGCATTACAGCCGAAAGTAGTATCTAAGCAACTTTATGCGCATCGACAAGAACTTGTATATGCACGTGTAGAGGCATGTGTAGATAATGCGTGTGCGTGTTTGTACAGCGACCCTTGTGTGAGAGTGCACGAGAGGCTTGATCAACAAAGTATCGGAGGATGAAGGGTTGATAGAAAGTTTTGCCACACATATATATATATAGTACATATTTATTCATGTATTTATTTATTTATTGACTCATTTATTTATAGCATATCATATATCTACATATACATATCATATATGGATGGATATTGTTGTGCTTGCATGTGCTTGCAGATATATGGTTGCCGTTTGTTCCATAGAGTCTTTGTGTTCCCAAGCTCGAATGCCAATTCTTCGTGCATTCTGGTGTAAATGTACAGGTTGCATCAGTTTGGCTAGCTTTTGCACAGGACCAAGAGTGGTCGTTGTTTCTAATTACCAGCCAATACTAAATAGTAGTAAAATATCAGTAATTTTGATGGTAGTAAGAATGAAGATGTGTCTCGTTAGTTGTGCTCAGACGCGGTGTTTCACGCACGTGGTTCCTTGGTGTGACAGTACAGTAGCGAAAGAGATCATGAAGGTGTTCTCAAGCTTAATCGGCTACATGACATGAGTCTGTTCAACTCGCATCCGCTGAGTGCCTCTAGTTCTGCTGGATGCTCCCCAGCTGCTCGCTGCAAGGACAACACTTTCAGTGTCATCGTCAGGGACCAGGACTGTTTGCGGTGACTTGCGACTTTCTTGCGAAGTGTCTGTCTGAAGTTGTAGACGCACTTCCTGTTGGATTTCAAGTCTCGACTCATCAATCGCATCCGAACGCAAGAGAAATCAGCTGATTGTATCAAACACTTGCCAGTCCTGCCGTGAGAATCGAAGGTTGCATCCGCACTTCGGGGTCGCTTTGTCTTGCATCTCAACCTGTACGGTGTTTTATGCTCCTTGATTTCAGATTCCAGCAAACTGCCGTTCCCTTTGGGCAGACATGTGCCAGGACGGCGGTGTCGTTGATGCAGCGTGCCCTCCCGTAGCCAACACCGTCACGTGATCGAAGCACAAGTGGAAGAGCGAAGATTGAAGAATGCAAGCGGCAACTTCTCGCTTGTGGCGAGAAGCAAGCTCATGATCTTGCTGGTTTTGTAAGCTCTGCGTCCCTTCGCTTGTCGTGGAATCTGAGAAACTTGGTCTTCATTCCCGATTCCCCATCAATGATAAGAATATCACATGGACACCTAACAAGAGACCCCGCTCTTCTCTTCCCCAGCCGGGCCAGAAGTGGACTTCTGCTTGGAGTTTGGAGGTACTCCATTCAGGGCAAGCCCTTCGTCATCATGGGCGTGACCGATCCCTACCTTGATTGGACCGGCTCCCAGAATGAACGTGTGTATATATATATATACATAACAGGCATACACTGTAATATACTATACTGTAGTACACCAGATATATATAGAATATAACAGGACAGTTGTGTGTGAAGGGTGGGCTTGCACGCGTTCACGCGTCAGCGTCCCTCGGGAAAGCATGGCCAGAGGCCAGGCCATGTTTAGGGTTTTAGTGATAGCGTTTAGGGCATCTGTAGTTTTCCGTACACAGTTGTCCCGCACATGATGGGTTTTGCAAAGTTCCGGTACCTACAAGCCTATAGGCGCTTCGTAAGTCCCAAACCCTAAAGCCTAGGCGCCCTCAAAACTCTAGACATTTTATTCTGCGAAAGCTTGCCAAGACCCTTAAAGGTTCAAGCAAGCGTTGCACAGGTCGCAGGCGGAGCCAGGGCAGCGGACACAAATTACGAGCTTCGGCTGCAGCTCAGAGCGACTCTTTCGGTTTTTTTCAGATCCAGAGATCCAGGGCATTGGGTTGAGGGCGGATTTAGAGACGTCAGTTTTTTGGGTGAAGGCCGGGCCGGAGTTCGGTGCCTTGGGACCACTGAGTCGCTGACCACTTTCAGAATCTGCTTAGACCGGCCCCCTGCCTCCTGCGCGCTGGACCTTCGGGCTTTCGTGATGCCCCCAAAAAACCGGACCTGAGATTGACCAGTAGAAGGACTCCCCCTAAACCCTAAACTCCCTAAGCCCTAAACCCTAAACTCCCTAAGCCCTAAACCCTAAACTCCCTAAACCCTAAACCCCGATCTGAAAGCTGGCACCATCGCGTGCCCGAGCAAAGGATCGGGCTCACGTTCACGGGGACTACCCCCAACGTCAAGGTGGGACTTTGCTTTCACAGGGTTTAGGGTTTAGGGTTTTTTTCGCCACTCCAATCTGTGTCAGTTCTCAGAGCCATGCCAAGCGCCCGAGCGCTTCTGTTAAAACAAAGCTTGGACATGTTGGACAAGTTGAAGAAGGGGTTACGTGCATGTGGTATGGGCTAGGCTAATACTGCAGAGTCATAGCCCCTGTCAGCAAGCTGGGAACATGCCCGACTTGTGAATCTCCTCAATCAAACTGCCAAAGGCAAGACATCTCCGCTGTTGCATTCAATCCGGATCGTCTCTCCTGAAATCCAAATCCCTCAACACATCCTGTCACGGCTCATGACATGCGTGGTGGTCTGGGGTCCAGACAATTCGGCTGTAGGTGTTGCGAGTGTTAGGGCCGGGTCCAGCGATGAATTGGGTTGATTTGTTTGCGGTCACACATGAATGAAGGGGGTGAGTGTGGCCCATCACGGGTCGTTCACAAGAACGGTACCCTACCAGTAGCATGTTTCGGGTATGTGAGCCGACATCCGAAGTGAGTTGTATTGGTGCAAAGCTACATTCATACGATCTACAGGATTGCACGTGGATGTTGGCTTGGTGCACTCTGTGCTTGCTCTCTGTCGTGCAGGCGGTGTTGATCATGCTCCCGGAGCGCTTCATTCACGATGTCCAGACTCCAACGGACGTGCAAAACATCAACAAGTCTGCGACCCAGATGTCATCGACGACGGTTCGTAGCGCTGGCAGATAGCTTGATGGATGTGAGCAGGCACCGCACTTCCTGTGTAAAAGTTTTCTTCTCCGGGCCTCCACTGGGACGGTTGACCTGCGAGACCGGCACAGGCAGTTCCCAGTGGCAGCAGGGTCGGATTGGGCATGGCCCCCAGAGATTCTGCTCCGATGTGCTCGTGGAGCCAAGTTGGGGTCAGCGCAGGGGATGAAAGCTTGGCGGTCCTGTTCGTTGGTGAAAGGAGATTACACCATCCTCATCGTCATGATGAGGTGCTGCTTTTGCTTCGCCACTGTCCATGGCTATGATCATGATTGGGGTCATCATCGTCAAAACACCTCCAGCTTCACGATGTGTCAACATTGTTTCCACCCAGACAACTTGTAGTTATCTTGTACTTGGCTTGATTGCGAGGGGTGCTGTCACCAGACCACTCAGGCAGACACCCAGTACACCGATCGGATCAAGATATATCTGGACGACACTGGCGGTGGCCAGGCCATTGATCCAGGCGAGTATCGGCCAGCAGCCCAATTGCTTTCCAGACTTCCGCGACGGGGTTTTCAGGTTTGTGTCGGGTGCGATCAACGACGACTACAGTCTTGGGGTACAAGTGTGCGGCATTCGCAATGCATCGAAAGGTTGTTGTCTCCGTGTGCGGACTGAGTGTGTCCGCAAGCTTGACCCAGGTTCAGCTTCCCGGCTCTGGTGCCTCCGAGCATGCTGCGACCTCAGAACTGCAGTCTACTACAGTACATACTTACTAATTACAGTATGGTATGTGATGTTGCCTGACTTGGCTTTTGATATTCTATCTCTCGGTACCTGACGCTGTTCGGCCCGTGCACGGCTGAGCACCTTCCTGGCTTCCACAGCCCGCAGTTCCACTGGCAGGTCCAACAACAACTACTGGTCGATTTCCTTGTCGCATCCTCAGCAGACTGGGTATGATCCAATTTCGGAAGACATCCTAGCTTGGTCATCCATCGCATCGCAGTCAGACATCCGAACATTCGATGCCGAAGTGTCTTCTGACAACTGCTGTATGAGCACTACGAAGGGGTCGTGATCTCTCGCAATTGCAGGTGCTTCGATCGGGATTGTCAGCAACCCGACGGGCAGCACCCTGTCCAGCAATGGTCCTGCAAAGCTGCAAGTCCACCACTTTCAGATCCGCGCTCATTGCCTAGCTAGAGCCGCATCGTGTAAAGGTACATCATCGTGAGTTTCCCCATCGCGGGCTTCCAGCTTTACGAACTGTCACAGGAGGCTGGCTATACGGTTTGTTGTGGAACACCAGGTCCGGTGCGAGAGTATTTGTACCGGAGACGATATGCAGCAGAAAACGAGTTCAAGTTGAAAGTCCCGGGAGTTTAATGTTAAGAGTAATATTAAAGAACACAAGTGAAGCCGGCGGCTCGCTCATTAAACCTAAACAGACCTCATCCACGAAGCGGGCAAAGCGACACGGTGAGATTTGTAGACGAGAATCGTTGAAGCCAACCAAATCTGAGCAAGCACATGATTTGATAGTATTGCAGAGCTGTTAGCTGTCAACTTTTGTTCTTCGAGTTCAACTTCGCACTCCTGGCAATTGTGCTAGTACACACTACTGCGTATCTCGAAAATCGATTTTTGTTTACACCTTGAGCTCAAACCTGCAACCTCTTCAGAGCCCCTGAATTCCGTGCAAGCTCCCCACATCCCGGCTGCAGACTCTTCGGGTCACTACGAACTTCGCCCCGCGCAGAGCGCGCCTCAGCGGAGAGGCGGGCTTGAAACTAAGGTTATGTAAGATGTGTGTGTGTACATATATATATATATGCATGCATGTATGTATTTATGTATGGTAAGGTAGGGTGGGGTAGGGTATGGTATGTGTACGTAGGTACCTATGTATGCATGTATGTATTTATGTATGTATGTACGTATATCTAATCTATCTATCTATCTACCTATCTATCTACCTATCTATCTCTATCTATATATATATACATAGATATTTGCGTGTGTATGTATGTATGTATGTATGTATGCATGCATGTAAGTATGTATGTATGCATGCATGCATGTATGTATGTATGTATGTATTTATGTATGTGTTTATGTATGTATGTATGTATGTATGTATGTATGTCGGTACGTATGTATGTATGCATGCATGCATGTTTGTATATAGCCTTATACGCGCATGTTTGGAGCGGGAGTGATTCGGGCTTTCCAGATGGAGCACCTGCCTGCACGCCTTTGCATTCGGATCTTCCTAGGTTCTGATCATTTAGGAAGAGGACAGAGGGTTCCGAGATTTCAGATGGCTCCCTCATGCAGGCACGGAAGCGAGTCAAGGGGTCAGAGTCACGTGTTTGGAATTAGGTTTGGGTCTCCGACTGCCTGTTTCAAGGTTCCAGGTCCCGGCATCTTCTTGCATTTCCGAACTGAAGGACCGTGTATCCATAGTCCCCTCTCTATGCTGAAGCCTTCCATCGTACAGGCAGCTCGAGACAGCAGATTCGCGCGCCTCATGCTAAAACTATCGGCCTTGCTCTCACAATACCATCCACCTTTTTAGTACAGCATCGTGATTTTGAGCAGTCGGCTGGTGCTTGTCTCATCGCAGTATCATCGTATAATGTCGATTCCGGCAGGAGGGAGGTGTTTTGTAAACTCGGCTGTGAGCGGTGGACTGATCGCAGAGGCATATTCGAGCATAAGGGAGCACTCCATACAGTAGGGTCCAGTTTACCTCACTCTGAAGAACAGCCGTCAACTATTGATGATGGCTACAGTCGTTCAGTATTCCTTTGCATCTCTAGAGTATAGTACCTCTAGAAGCATGGAGACACCGACCAGTGTGCCTCCGCCGGGAAGGTTTTCATCCCACTATTTGCATTCATGCTCCTGTTGCTCAGACCGTTGTGCCGGCCTCAGCAGAGTTGCTTATACTAGGACAGCAACTTTAGATGGCGGTGTCAGCAACCTTCCGAGTCGCAAGAAGCCGGGGTCATATCAGGTGGCTGAGGATGGCCATGACGAAATTCAGTCAGAAGAGGCATAGCTACCAGCACACGGGTCATATTCTTTCTATAACAACAGCGACCTATGCAAACTTGCTAACAACGTGCTGTTGCGTGTTGCCGCTGCTTGCTTGCAGCGGCCCTGTTCATGCTTAGGGCTCACCTTTTCTTTGGCAGTCTCAGTTCCCGTTGAGACATACAATTTACAGATCACATTATTACTGTCTTCAGCATGTGCAGGGAACAGCTACACGGAAAGAGTAAGGAGAACATTCGACCGTCCAGGCAGAAGTATGTATTTCGCTTGGGGCTACCATGAGCACCAACCTCTCACGCACCTCGCTTGCAGTCTAAGGTATCGGGACTACAAGTGACTTCTGCGAACAGTCGGCGAGGGTGCCACGGCACAGTCTCACTCGAAGGGAGCAAAGGGCCGGCGCGAGTCCAGAGCCAAGGCGAGTGCCTGGAGCAGCCTCCTTACATATGGGAGTTTCCGAAAATAAGGGGCACCTTATTTGGAGTCCTATAACAAGGATCCTACTATTTGGGGTACTATATTACGGTCCCCTATCGTCGGAAACCCCCATATAATATGTTATGCATTTATGTGGGTGTGTCGATGTTCAAGCACACACGCATGCACATGCACATGTGTAGTGTGTCTACATATGTCGATGTGTGTGTTTAATAATTACACGATATTAGACGAAGGAGTGTCAGAGTGGACTGCAACGACAAGAAATCTGTAGCTGGGCTGCCGGACCACATCCTTCACACAGGCGAGGCCCTAAGGGCCGTAGCCGTAGGCAAGTCCAGAATATCTTTGCAGGTGCCAAAGAAAATTTGGGGCTTCGGGTTTGTCATTGTGCTTTTCTACGTACTGCATCCAGATGTTTGCGGAAGTCGGGCTTGACTTTGACGCTATTCTGCGTCGGGGAGTGGTTAGAAGCAGCTGCAAAGACATTATGAAGTGCTCCAGTACAATCAGCAAAGGTATCCCCACGACTAACCTGTTTGCCGTTGAACGTGCTTAGGGTTTAGACTTGACGTGATCGCTCGACATTTCGATGCTTCGGAGTGCATGTTGTCATGTGTTGTCCTCCCGCTGCAAAGCATGATGCAAGTCCAATTTCGGGACAGTCTGTTTACTCTTCTCCGTTTTTCACGCGTTCGAGTGTGTATGTACATGGTTTTGTGTCAGAAGTAGCATTTGCAACAGACCACGATTCTGCCATTCCTGTTGTGGCATGAGGTGCCGGCTGACCGTTTTTCCCACTCGCCGTTTTCCTGGCCGCAGCTTAAACTGTAGAAATTCAGCGCCTCTTCCGGTGCTCGACGAAGAAGGACCCTTTTTTCTGGCGAGCTTCTCAGATGTTCCGTGGCTCCAAGAAGCTCCCTGTCCTCCGGCCAGGGAGGCTTCACAGCCACACAGCGCAGGGGAGCTCAACTTCACACTCTATATACATCCCAAAGCCCTTAAGCCCGGAACTCCCATCATGTCAGCTACCATAATGCCACAACCGGGGCCCTGACGCCTTAAGCTGGGCGATGGACGATGACCTGGAGCGCGCTGCACGAAAGCATCGCCTGCAACAGCGCCATGGGGCGATTCGCGTCGGAGTCTCAGAGCGGCTTCTAGTATCATTAATAACAGTACCAACAATAATGCTATTGCTATTACCAATAATAACAAACATAGCAATCATAATAACGAAGATCACAACAATAGTAAGAAGAATGAGGAGAATATAAGGAATAGTAAGAGCAACAACATCATCGTCAATAACAACAAGAACAACAGCAGCAACAACAACAACAGCCGACAACAACAACAACAACATCATCCACAACAACAACGGCAACAGCACCAGCAACAGCAACA